TGAATGTACTATGGTCAAACTATACCCACATACATTATGCCCGGATCTCTCCCCCAGACTTCTGACTTCCGCATGTGCATACACTATTCCATGGATATCTCAAAGCGGTCTCAAGTTTAACACGCCCAAAACTAAATTCTTGATCTTACCGATCCCCCTAAACTGGCTCCCCTGCCACCCCCTAATTCTTTTTTTCTTAGCCATTTACATGATCGCTTAAGCCAAAGGCTTAAAACACTTGAAAGTTCTGTCTCCTTTATCTCCTGCATCCAAAATACATCCACCACCTGAACCCCATCACGGCCTTACTGGTAGAAGCAACTCTGACTGCTCATCTGACAGCGCCTCCCAGTGGTCTCCACCCTCCACTGCAGCCCGGTCCAACCCCTGTTCCCAGAGTAGCCGGAATAATCCTTGAGTGAAAATCAGGTCAGTTCACAGCTCTGGCCCAGAATTCTTTGGCTTCCCACTAACCTCTGTTAACCCTAAACTTTCTGCCAAGACTCTCCTTCCCCAGACTCTTGCTTACCTCTTGGAATATAACTTTGCTGATATCCTGCCTTGACACCATACCCTCCCCAGGCTCGCCTTTCTGACAGTGCCCTACCTAAGGGCCATGACAGAAACGTTCTTTACCTACTGCAGATCTGTTTCCTGCTTTCTTTATCCCCAGCCCAACTGTGATTTGCCCCTCCTCCACATGGTCACCTGCCTTCACTCGGCTGGCCGTGATTGTGCCATTTTCTCTTCCAGGGACTGCTTTAGAGATGAGCATGGGAGGCATTTCTGGCTGAGGAGACATGAGGGAATGCTGGCTGAGGGACTTCTGGGAAAGACAGTCTGGCTCTTACGGGCACACAGAGGGTAAACACTATATCTTCTTCCACCAGTTGATGCTGCGTCTGTCCATGAGGACTGCAGCTGTGGCGGCCATCATGTTTGATTGGGGAGGGTACAAGGGAAAACCAATGCACTGAGGATGGCAGAGAGCGAGGGTGGCTAAGACCTGGGACTGAGGTTCTGACGTCGGCGCTCGTGGGGCCTTCCCACCTATGCACTTGTTATTATGTGAGGTAGGACTTCTCCTAAATGCAGACGCCGGCCCAGACTGGTTTGTCTGTTACTTGCAGCTGAAAGCATCTTCCGCGTGGGCCATTCAGTCTGCCTGGAACACTGCCTCCTCACACCTTATCTGCCTGATCTACTCATCATTTAGGTTTGCTTTTATTGGGTCCTCTGTTCAGAGAAAATTTCCCCAGCCACCCGTTAGAAACAGGGAAGCTCTGTCCCACTGTGCCAGGGCCCCTCGTGCTCTTCCTTTAAAGCTATATAATCAAACCTATAAATAAAACAAACTGATGGTTGCCAGAGGGAAGGAGGTTGGGGGCATTTTAAAATTCCACGTTCACTTATGAGGTTTCTTCGAAATCTGTCTCTTTCACGAGACTGTGAGCCGGATTCACAAACACAGGGGCTGTGTATATGCTGTTGAGTGCTCCTTCCCAGTCCCTAGCAAAGTGACAGGTGCACGGTACATATTCAGTAAATATTTGCAGAAAGAAATAAACAAACGCAAGCTGGATATAACATGGAAAGAAACATCCTCTCTCCTCTCAGTGGGGTGGCCCCGTCCGCAGGTGAGGGCACCTGTTAGCACAAAGAGCCGGACTGGAAGTCAGAGTGGGGCTTGGGTTCAAAAGTCGATTCTGATACCAAGTAACATTATTTGGTCTCCCTGAAGTTTTATCTTCTCTCACCGAGTTTAATAAAAACTGCCTCTATCTTGTAGGATTGTAAGGGAGGGTGAAGGGAGATAAAATACAGATGTTTGATGTTAGGATTATTAAAACAGTGATGCTCTGTCCATCTTGAAATGTCCATGTTTTAAGGGGATTCCACTGTAATAATTCCATTGTGCACAGTAAAACCAAATCATTTACTATGGACTGAAGAGTGTCCCTCTCAAATTCATAGGCTGACGCCCTAACCCCCAGTGTGATGGTTTTTGGAAATGGGCCTTTGAGAGGTAATTAGGTTCAGCTGAGGTCATGAGGATGGGGTCTCCATAATGGGATCAGTGCCTTTGTAAGAAGAGACACCAGAGATCTTGCATGTTCTGTTTCTGCCTTGTGAGGGCACAACAAGAAGGTGGCAGTCAGCAAGGTTGAACAGAATCAGTAGTCACCTAGATCTTGGACTTCCCAGCCTTCCAAACCATAAGAAACAAACCTGCTGATGAAGTCATCTTGTCTACAGTGTTTTGCTCTAGCAGCCAGAGCTGTTTAAGACACCAGTGCTTATCCCAGTAAAGCCATCTGTACCTCCTCATAGCTCCACAGACATCCTACCCCAGTGCCAAGACTTCAGGGAGACAATCCCAAATACAGTTATAGATACCAAGGGAATCTATCGACTTTAGTCTAGACCAGAATGGTGGTTCAAAATTCAGAACAGATGTGAAGAAACAAGCAAGCAGAAGCCCAGATGAAGGGGTGCTTTTTACCCAGCCCCAGATTTCTCTAGAAGACACCAGCCTTAGTCCTCTGGGGAAGGGCCCGTCATTCATTTCTTTCAATCTTCCATGTCAAGTTTAGCAAGATAGGACCTCTGACAAGAATTTCAGTAGGGGGTTTAAGGAGCCAGAGTAAAGAACACACGGCCTGTGTCCGCTTTCTGCTTACCCAGGAAGCTCCCTAATGAGATATGCAGAAGTGTGTGTGTGCGTGCGTGTGTGTGTGCATGTGTGTGTGTGTGTGTGTGTGTGGTGTGGTGTGTATGAATTTATTAAGGGAGAGGGTCCACAGCTTTCACCAGACTCTCAAACAGTCTGTAACTTCCCCCTCCCCCCCCAAAATGATGAAATTACCATAGAAGATAGTCAATGTGCTTTGAAAGTGAGAGCACTATGTAAGTGCAATATGACCATCTTACAGCTCAGATGCACCTGGCCTTTACCTGTTTTCATAAGTGGGAGCCACAGAGGCCAAGGGCATTATAATAGATAATTCCTGTGGTAATGGCAGGAATCTACAGGAGCTGTCAACTAAATCCACACTAAACTACAAAGCCACCCAGTTGAATGTGCACTGTAGAAAGACCGCTTGCCTTCCAGATAATGAGACAAAGCCAACAAAGGGGGGATGTTTCCAGCAATCCCTGAGGATGCCACATACTGCCAGAACTTTCTCTGATCACAATCCCCCATGGTCTTTCATTGTGTGTAGTGGGCTCTATGTGCTAGAAAGCCTTCCCTTCCTCAGGAAGAAATTCATTTGCTATCCATTACAGACACCAGTTGGCACAAACCCACCCTAGGAATACGTTCCATAGTAAGTGTTTGAAAGTACCACTGCAAAAAGAAATTGTAATCAAAAAATAACTTTACAGAGGACTTAAGAAAAATAAAAAACAATAATAAAACCCAAAATTGATCACCCTGAAATAACTGTAACAACCCTATGCTTATGATGGCCTTTCCTGGGTTGTAGAGATGAGGTGCTCGAGAAGAAATGGGGACTCTACTGGCTCAATTTTGGTTTTCATCACACTGTTTCTCATTCTGATCTCTTTGGGAGATTTCCCAGTAATTTCATAGTGGTTTGTAGCCCCAGGAAATCCAAGGTAGCACATGAAAAGATGCTCAACATCTTTAGCCAAAAGAGAAATGTATTGGAGAATAATTTATAATAGCCAAGGTATAGAAGCAACCCAAGTGTCCATTGATACACATACACACAGAGGAATATTACTCAGCCATAAAAAATTGTCATTTGCAACAATATGGATTGACCTATAGGGTATGATGCTAAGTGAATTAAGTCAGACCGAGGAAGACAATTATCATAGGATTTCACTCATGTGTGGAATCTAAAAAATGAAACAAATAAATACATAAGCAAATAAAAAGCAGAATCAAACCTATAAATAGAGAGAACAAACTGATGGTTGCCAGAGGGAAGGAGGTTGGGTGATGGACCACATGGGTAAAGGGGAGTGAGAGGTCCAGGCCTGTAGTGATGGAATGAATAAGTCATGGGGATGAGAAGGGCAACCCAGGGAACATGGCTAATGGTACTGGGACAGCCTTGTAAGGTGACAGCAGGCAGCTACACTTGTGGAGAGCACAACATAACCAAAAGAGTTGTCAAATCACTATGTTTTACACCTGAAACTAGTGTTAACCCCATGTGTCAACTCTACTCAAACAAACACATTACAAGTAAATTTTAAGAATGAGGAATGCAAATCAAACCCACAACAATAGCACTTCATACCGATCAGGATGGCCATTATAAAACATGGGAACTCAGTGTCAGGAAATGTGTAGAGAAACAGGATCCACTGTGCATTGTTGTTGGGAATAAAGTGAGGGTGCTGCCTTACAAAGGAGTGTGGAGATTCCTCAAAAAGTTAAATGGAAGTACCGTCCGATCCAGCAACCCCACTTCCAGTATACACCCAAAGGCAGACGTCTATACACCTGTGCTCATAATAGCACTACGCACAATAGCCACGAGGTGGAAACCACCCCGTGTTCACTGATGGCTGAATGGAAAAACACAATGTATTATATGCATATAACAGACAATTACTCAGCCTAAAAAGAAGGAAATTCTGACACCTGCTACAACACTGATGAATCTTGAAGACATTATGATAAATGAAAAAGCCAGTTGTGAAAGGACAAAGGCTATATGATCCCACTGGCACAAGGGACCTAGAATAGTCGAGTTCACGGAGACAGAAAATAGGAAGGGGGCTGCCCAGGACTTCAGGGAGTTAGTGTTTAACAGGGACAGAGTTTCCCTTTGAGAAGATGAGAAAGTGCCAGAGATGGCCGGTGGTGATGGTTGCACAACACTGGGAAGGTACCTGATGCCACTGAACTTGTACATTAAAAAATGGTTAAAATGGTAAATTTTGTTATGTATATTTTGACACAATAAAAAAGAAAAAAAGAAAGAAAGAAAAAAGGAGCCAAGGTGGCCAGCGGTACTTACAAAATATAGGCAATCACTCCGATGGACCAGCAGTCAACAGCCTTGCTGTATGGTTTCTGGGCCAGGACCTCAGGAGCTGTGGAGTGATAAAGGAGAAACACAAGCATGACAAGTTAAATGCCCAAGACATAAAACATTTTTTAGATTTTTCTTCTCTTTTTCTGTCCGCCCCTCAAGCTGAACTTTCCATCATGCTAAAAACTGAGTAGAAATATAGAACTTAATTTATGTATTGGCTTTTCTAACTAGAAAAACATAAGAACACTGTGTGTGTATGTGTGTGTGTGTAACAAGATTAACAAAAAAGTTCAACCAATCAATCTATCAATCAGTTGGAGTAGGTGACTCTTTCATATTGGGGCTGGGCTAGGTACTGCAGCTCAGGCGAGACTGAGTCAGAGAAAGATACCCTCCACTTACAGCCTAGGGTGTGACTTCCCCTAAAATTAATTTGGGGAAGCATTTCTGGCCCCAGGGAAGGGCCTTCCTGGGTGCCATGGGGCGTGAAGGTGAGGCCCCCTCTTAATACTTTCATGGATGCCACAATCCAGGGGAGATGAGACCTGAAATCTGGTCCTAGGAAACCTGCCTTAGGCCTGCTCTCAGCTCACTCTGGAAGGTTTTAGGCAGGTGACCTCCTCAGTACTAACATTTCATTTTCTCACCCATGAAATAGCAAAAGGCTCCTGACTCCCAATTCCTCAGTTCTAACCCAAGAGCCCTCCATCCCAGGGGTCTCAGCTTGTTTTGTCCTAGAACTTTGCTTTCTCTTCCTGGCCTTGCGGCTTGAGCCCTCTGCTGGATACCCACACCCAAAGTCTCCCGACAGGCAGTGACTGTCACACATCTTTGTGCAAAGAGTAAATAAATATAAGAAAAAACAGTGTATCTTCACAAGCAAAATCTCCTTTTCACCCAAATACACTTGACAGACGTGTCTTTAGCATAGACCTTCCAGAAAACCTAAGCGAGTAGACAAAGTAAGACGAGCTGTCTGCTGGATTGTGTGTCCTATGGCTTTGGGATGAATTAACTCATTTACACTAATTGGCCTTGGTGGGGGGCAAGAGCTTAATTATTATTATCATTATGATGACTCCCAAGTCACAGGACCCAGAGGGACTGCCGGGTCAAGGAACGTGCCCAAAGTGATCCAGCAAGAAAGTAGTCTCTACACTGACTTCCTCTCCAACTGGACTGACAGGAATGATGTCCCTGCTGTGATCTGGGTCATTCATAAGTATTTTCTACTATAACCCTTTCAACAACCCTCGCAATGATCATTCTCTGCCCCTGATCTAAGGGAAATGAACCTCAGAGAAGTTCTTTTTCTGATGCTACCCAGTAGAAATGGACCAGCTGGGATTTGAACCTGGTCAATTTCATCCTCATCCCAGTTCCATCCATTGGAATATATTTACTGTTAAGTTGAGTGCTACCTGTAAGAAAAGTCCTGTGGCAGAAAAACTAACAGGGAAATCCTCTCTTATCTTTGTTACAATAAATTTTCCTAAGCAGGACTAGGGATATATACAAACGTCTGCTGATTATTTCTGGTTATGATGGTAAGAAATACAATCCACAGATAACCCCCAAATCTACTTCTCGATTTCAGCTCCCATTCCTCCACATTTGAACTAAGACTTTATTTTTGTCTTTTTTATCAAGAGCAAAATAAATATGTCTGTATGTCCTTTCTTTGCTTCGTTCACCCTCCATGCAGTAGCAAAAGGAGAAGCAGAACCATAAAGCCCGGAAACTCACAAACTGGAGAAGTAGCCCTTGGATAACGGAGGACTGGACCCATCAATACCTCCTTTTCCCCGTAACTGCTAGGAGCACATTTCTCAGACACTTCTATTATGGCAACTGACAAAAGGGAGCCATTTGTCCCATTAATGTCCTGCTGATTTAGGACATATGCTCTCTCTGAGCTGATGTTCTGGTCCAAGCGACCACAAGGGCACAGATGGTGGGAGATGACTGCATCAGCAAGAAGCTAATTTCTCAGCCCCCAGAGCCATCCATGTGGCCTGATAGAAAGTTCAAAGGAGGCACAGAAGGCTCCCTGGCGACGTCTGACCCAGTGTCACTTCCCAGCAGGATGGACGGCAGATATTCTGAGCACAGAGCCAGGCTGGTGGGTAGGAACCCTGGCTTCCACGTCATGGGATTTGCTGGACCCCTTATGGAGAGGGTAAACCAGCCACCCCATGGTACCAGGTGTCAAACAGTGGTGCAGAGGCAGTGAGAGTTCAGTGCGGGATATGGGGCAAAGCTCATGTCATGCACCAGGTGTGACATGGCGACAGACGTGGGGAAGGAGCCCTGAGAAGGAAGAGGTTGGCATCTCCAACAGTTGATGCCACGGTTTATAAGCAAAGATTGAGATCCCCTGAGCCATGTTGTGTAGAGCGTAAGAGTCCCAGGCCCTGAAAAGCAGCTTTCACTCCGAGGAAGAGCTGACCCTGTGTTCTTCAGAGCTTCCCAGACTCAGGTCTCCAGCACTCTGGGGATGAGAGGGAGGGCTCCTTAAAAGAACATCTTCTTCCTCTTTCTCCTCCCCCTCCTTCCCTTTTAGATAGAGGGAAATTCTGGCCACCATCCATTATCCTGAAGACAAAAGAATAAAGAACACGGCGTCCCTCCTGAAGTCTGTATACCCAGGGGCATGTGCACACTCAGCATCTCACCTTGGGGCTGGTAGAGTGACCGCATTCTGGAGAACAGTGCAAGGCCCTGCGTGCACTTGAAAAGGAACTGACTGATTTGTATGCGGCACGGAATAGGAAGATTGCTTGAGATGTTTAGATTCTTGAAGCCAGAGATGGGACATGTAATTTATAAAATTTGAGATTCTGGGGCACCTGGGTGGCTCAGTCATTAAGTGTCTGCCTTCGGCTCAGGTCATGATCCTGGGGTCCTGGATCAAGCCCTGTATCGGGCTCCCTGGTCAGCAGGAAGCCTGCTTCTCTGTCTCCCAGTCCCTCTGCTTGTGTTCTTTCTCTCTCTCTCTCTGTCAAATAAATAAATAAATCTTTAAAAAAATAAAATATGAGATTTTGTGTAAATGGTAAAATTTACAACATCAAGTGTACGGTTTTGTGGGGTTTTTTTTTGGTCTTTTAAAAAAAGGGATCTGGGGAGGAGTCAAGATGGCGGACAAGTAGCAGCTGAGACTACTTCAGGTTGCGGGAGATCAGCTAGATAGCTTATCTAAAGATTGCAAACACCTACAAATCCAACGGGAGATCGAAGAGAAGAAGAACAGCAATTCTAGAAACAGAAAATCAACCACTTGCTGAAAGGTAGGACTGGCGGAGAAGTGAATCCAAAGGGACGGGAAGACAGACCCCGGGGGGAGGGGCCGGCTCCCGGCAAGCGGCGGAGCAACGGAGCACAAAATCGGGACTTTTAAAAGTCTGTTCCGCTGAGGGACATCGCTCCAGAGGCTTAACTGGGGTGAAGCCCACGCGGGGCCAGTGTGGCCTCAGGTCCCGCAGGGTCACAGAAGGATCGGGGTGTCTGAGTGTCGCAGAGCTCGCAGGTATTAGAACAGGGAAGCCGGCTACAGAGACGGAGCCGAGGAGTGAGCTCACAGCTCGGGCTTACCTTGAACCGGTCGCAGGCTCGGTGAGCTCGGAGCGCGGCCGGAGGCCGGGCAGACGGGAGTAATTGGACGCTGTTCCCTGAGGGCGCACTGAGGAGTGGGACCCCTAGCTCTCGGCTCCTCCGGGCCGGAGACTGGGAGGCCGCCATCTTCCTTCCCGTCCTCCGGACTCTACAGAAAGCGCTCAGGGAACAAAAGCTCCCGAAAGCAAACCCGAGCGGATTACTCAGCCCGGCCCCTGGTAAGGGCGGTGCGACTCCGCCTGGGGCAAAGACACTTGAAAATCACTACAACAGGCCCCTCCCCCAGAAGATCAACAAGAAACCCAGCCAGGACCAAGTTCACTTACGAGGAGTGCGGTTTCAATACCAAGGAGAGCAGCGGAATTCCAGAGGAGGAGAAAGCAAAGCACGGAACTCATGGCTTTCTCCCCATGATTCTTTAGCCTTGCAGTTAATTTAATTTTTTTTTCTTTTTCAATTTTTTTCTCTTCTTCTGCTTAATTTTTTTAAACTTTTATCCTTTTCTTTTTTAATGTTTTTTAACTAGTTTATCCAATATATATATATTTTTTCCTTTTTATATTTTTTTCATTATTGGTTTTCTTTTTTTTATTTGTTTCTTTTTTCTTTTTTATTTTATTTTATTTTTTTTCTTTCTGAACCTCTTTTTATCCCCTCCCCCCCCCCACTCGAGTGGGGAGCGCTTCTGATTTGGCTAAAGCATATTTTCCTGGGGTTGTTGCCACCCTTTTAGTATTTTACTTACTCCTTCATATACTCTTATCTGGACAAAATGACAAGGCGGAAAAATTCACCACAAAAAAAAGAACAAGAGGCAGTATCAAAGGCTAAGGACCTAATCAATACAGACATTGGTAATATGTCAGATTTAGAGTTCAGAATGACGATTCTCAAGGTTCTAGCTGGGCTCGAAAAAGGCATGGAAGATATTAGAGAAACCCTCTCGGGAGATATAAAAGCCCTTTCTGGAGAAATAAAAGAACTAAAATCTAATCAAGTTGAAATAAAAAAAGCTATTAATGAGGTGCAATCAAAAATGGAGGCTCTCACTGCTAGGATAAATGAGGCAGAAGAAAGAATTAGCGATATAGAAGACCAAATGACAGAGAATAAGGAAGCTGAACAAAAGAGGGACAAACAACTACTGGACCACGAGGGCAGAATTCGAGAGATAAGTGACACCATAAGACGAAACAACATTAGAATAATTGGGATTCCAGAAGAAGAAGAAAGAGAGAGGGGAGCAGAAGGTATATTGGAGAGAATTATTGGAGAGAATTTCCCCAATATGGCAAAGGGAACAAGCATCAAAATCCAGGAAGTTCAGAGAACCCCACTCAAAATCAATAAGAATAGGTCCACACCCCGTCACCTAATAGTCAAATTTACAAGTCTTAGTGACAAGGAGAAAATCCTGAAGGCAGCCCGGGAGAAGAAGTCTGT